TGGGAGAGCTAGCTAGCTTCCAAAGACAGTCGCCACCAGTCGCTCGAGCTGCACTAGCCTGAGTCCCTCAAAGCTCCTGAGCTGCGCGGGCGCCGCAATCGCCTGCATCCTTGCCGCTTGGGTGTGCCGGTGTGCAGAACGGAGCTAGCAGGTAGAGAACTAGTAATGTAATGTTTCTATATGTAGAGAGAAGTGTGCTCGTCGCGATAGCCTTATCTGAAGTACGCCTCCTGTCCCGGCGTAAGGCTCGAGCCTATCCTGGAACGCTCTGCACTCGGGGCCTTTCACAAGTGCATTTGCGGCGTAGCGGCGGCGGAATATCTCGCCCAGGGCCTGGAGCGTGTAACAAGTTTCTGTGCCGCTCGCGTTACACAAATGCAATGAGAGAGAACTCAGAAGCCCACGTCGTCAGTTACTCAATAGCCTCCCATGCCCTCCATGCCAGCGCCAGCGCCAGCGCTCTCCGGCTCTGGAATCGCCACGACAACGACGTCGCTCGTGAGGAAAACCTTTGCCACCGAGGCCGCGTTCTCCAGCGCGCAGCGCACCACCTGCGGCAGGTTGGTGGATGGGTTGGGCCAGCCTGAGAGCTGTGCTGCGCAAGTGGGACCCGTGCCTTAGTGATCCCCACCCACCTTGACGGGGTCGATGATGCCCGCTGCCATGAGGTCCTCAAACTTGCCGGTGGCCGCGTTGTACCCAAAGTTGGGATTGGCGTCCTCAAGCACCCGCTGCATCACCACGCTGCCATTGTCGCCCGCATTGTTGGCAATCAGCTTGAGGCTGTACGGCAGCGCACGCTTCACAATGTCGGCCCCAACCTGGAGGCGGACAAAAGGTCACCAGACTGTAATGTGCATCCCAACCCAGGCAACTGCTTCCATACGCATCCTTCATCCACACACACACACATACACACACACACACACACGCGCGTGCCTTCTGCTCCTCGTCGGTAAGGCCGGCCTTGAAGGCATCCACCATGCTGGACAACCGCAGCAGGGCGCAGCCGCCGCCGGTCACGATGCCCTCCTCCACCGCCGCCTTGGTGGCGTTCAGCGCATCCTCCACGCGCAGCTTCTTCTCCTTGAGCTCCGTCTCGGTCTGCGCGCCAACCTGCAGAGCAGAGCGACAAAGTGGCAGCAGCAGAGAGGGAGCAGGTGGGAGGTGGAGGTGACAAGGCCCACTAGATCAGCCCGCATACCGAACACCTCACAGCGTTGCAGTGCCGCATAAGGCTTGCGCCGGCTTGGTTCTGGCCTCGCACACCTGGATCACGGCTACGCCACCACTCAGGCGTGCAATGCGTTCATTCAGCTTCTCCTTCTCATACTCGGCATCAGTCTGCACAGGAGATGCGGCGGCGCGCATGTGATTTCGATCGCAGGTTGCAAGCCAGAAGGTCGGAATCCGTGCTTTGCAGCCAAGAGAGCAGTCAATGCCTCGCACCTCAGCCACCAGGTTCTTGATCTGCTTGACGCGTGCCTCCACGTCCGCCTGGGTGCTGCCATCGCCCACAATGGTGATGTGCTCCTTGCTCACGGACACCTGCGGTTGGCAGACATTGCTACCAGGTTCGGGCAAGCCATGGTCACCCTGCAGTACTGCTTGGCACCCCCCCCCCCCCCCCATGACCAACAACGACCACCAATCAGCACAGCCTTCAATTACCTTGGCTGCCAGGCCCAGGATGCTGTCATCGGCCTTGTCCAGGCTGATGCCCAGCTCATCCTTCACAAGCTGGCCACCTGCAGGTAGACAAGCAGCACCGGGCAACGGTGGTCAGCCGGAGCGCAGTGCACAACGAACCTTGCATCTTAGCAGATTGCTATTGAGGCATGCCATGAGCGCAGCACCTCCCCCGCCCTCACCCGTCAGGATGGCAATGTCCTCCAGGTAGGAGGACTTGCGCTCGCCAAAGCCCGGCGCCTTGACGGCCACCACCTTGAGCGTGCCGCGCAGCTTGTTCACAACAAGGGTGGCCAGCGCTTCCTGCAGGCAGCGCGGGCACACAGGTGCATCAGCGCTGCACATAATGCCAGCGATGCTGGCCATGGGCAGAGGACGTCGAGATCATGCTTGCTTGCCTGCTCAATGTCCTCGGCCATGATGAGCAGAGGGTGGCCGCCCCGAATGGCACCCTCCAGGATGCCAATCATGTCACGAGCGGTGCTAATCTTCTTGTCTACCAGCAGCAGCTTGCAGTTTTCATACTCGGCCACCATCCGCTCCGGATCGGTGACAAAGTAGGGTGAGATGTAGCCACGGTCAAACTGCATGCCTTCCACCACATGCAGGCTGTCCTCAGCCGTCTTGCTCTCCTCCATGGTCACCACGCCGGCGCGGCCCACGCGCATCATGGCGTCACTGATGAGCTGCCCAATCTGCAGCCATGTTGCCAGGATGGGGGCGGTTGGGCTTAGTTTGATGGAAATCTACAGTGAAAAGACTGCACAGCATGCATGCCTGAGCCGGGCGAGGAGCAGCTCACTCATCGTCTCACCTTCTCATTGCCCCCAGCAGACACGGTGGCGACGTCTTTAAGCTCCTCATCCGTCACATCCTTGCTGACCTTCCGCAGCTCACCCACCAGGTACTCGACAGTCTTGTCCATGCCGCGGATGAGCTGCGATCATGCCAAGCGGTGGAAGCAAGGCGATGCATAAGCCCAGATGCCAATCGCAGCATGCTGCCTACTCAGCACCCTGCTTCGTGATGAGCTGCACTTCACACAGCATCCCCAACCAAATGGCAGCTGCTCACCTGCACAGGGTTGGCACCCGCTGCCACGATCTTCATGCCCTCAGCGATCATGGCAGCAGACAGGATGGTGGCGGTGGTGGTGCCGTCGCCGGCCAGGTCGTTGGTGCGGGCAGCGGCCTGCAGGCCACACGGGGCATTGTCAGACTGTCTGCCCCGCCCAGATTGTGTAGGTTGCTCTGATGTAAGAAGCTTGCCCACCTGACGCACGAGCTTGGCCCCAATGTTCTCGACGGGATCTTCCAGTTCCACCTCTCGTGCCACGGTCACACCGTCGTTCACAATCTTAGGAGAGCCGTACTTGGACTCCAGCACCACGTTGCGGCCCTTGGGGCCCAGTGTAACGCCCACCACGGTGGCCAGCTTGTCCACGCCCGCCTGCATGGGAAGACCAAGGAAGCGCGTGGGTGGGTGAGCGAGGCAAACTGGTAGCGACACTCGCGCGGGAAGCAGGCTTCTGCTTCTGCCGCGAAGCCGCTGCTTGCCTGCATGCGCTTCAGCGCCTCGCCATTGGTGTTGAAGTGCAGCTGCTTGGCAGCATAGGTGCGCACGGCGCCGGCGCGAGAGCGGCTGCCGGTGCGGGTGGCGGGCTTGGTGAGCACACCGGCGCCTGCGGCAAGAGGATGCAATCCATTCACAAACATCACACGGCCCCCAAAGGTGCACAAAGCCTCCTTGCGCCAGCATGCACGTTGGCAGGCTTCCAGAGAGTTCAGCAGGACGCAAGGCAGCGTGCCCCTGGCGCCCGTGCATCCGCACAGCGCAAGCATTTATTTCGTGTCCAATGCGGAAACAGCGACACAAGCGAAGCTAAGCCCAACCTGTGGCACACCCACCCATCTTGGAGGTCGCCAGCTGAGCCGCCCTGCAGGCAGGCAATGCATGCTGAGATTGAGTCAGCAGCTGGTTTCAAGCCAAGGCCGCCGCGGCCATAGTGCATATCAAGGCCACGGCCGCCATGCATGAGGGCGCACATGTGCAAGCTCCAGGGAAGGGCGTTGGCAAGCTCTGGCAGAAGAACAGAAGAAGCCGTGGCGAGTGCGCTTGGCAAGTGCGGTGCTGTTCCCACCGTCATCTGTACTGCTCGCCAGCTTGGCATAGTGCGTCGCTACCATCAGTGTTTCTGAAAGCTGGCGAAATCGCCAAATGCTGGCGAAATCGGGCAAAAAACGGCTCTGGCTGGCGATTGGCCGAAGGCCATCGCCAGCCAGAGCTGGCGAAATGAGGGCAGGCGGCAGGACATGGTCGCCAGCCCGTCGCCATCCCCCATGACTGGCATCGCCAATATATTGAGGGAAAATGGCCAAATTTCCTCAGGAACTTCATTCCATAGTGTTAAAAAAGCGCCAGCTTTCTGGGGGCTTCGGCCCCAGT